AACACGGAGCCTAAGTTCACACCGAACAGCAAGCTATAAGGGGCCCCAAAATGACTAGTTCAAAACAATTCAAACAGGAAAACCAACGATTTGATCTATATAAAAACGAGAAACACTTATGAACCACATCAACAAATGACAACCACTGAACAACAGGCTCCTGAGTTTGAACAGGTGCATACAAATGCAGCGGGTTTAAACGTTTTAACAGGCGCCAACCTTCACCCTAACCTGAAACAGTAGTGTATCATTACAGCATAAAAAGACACACTATTAAAGTTTGATCTATAACACAATATAGTATTAATACAGTATTAATAAAAAAATTGTAGAACAGGGTCACAAAGACAACCCTAAAATGGGACAAAATGGCGTTAAATGTAAAAGAGTACACAGGTAAATTTAAATATAATCATTTTGTAGTTAGGAGTACGGAATTTTTTTCCAATATAAAATAAATGTGTTGTTCACAGTACGCATGGTACGGGAACAGAAGTGAAAATTTATCGTTATACTAAATCTTATCAAAGGTGGTCCATATTAAAAATAGTGAGACGAGATATAACACTAAATAAGTAAACATTAAATACATTACAAACAAGTCAAATTAACACAAATGTATGACTTGAGAATACTCGCAGTTACTGAAAGCTAGTTACAAGCCAAAAACAATTTATAATACAAAGTCATGCATTAGAGACTAAAATCAATCAAAACACATCCCAGGGATTTAGTGTTTTAACGCCATGGACAGTCAAAGAAGACATGACTTGTGCAATGCCAAAGTAAAAGCATCGTCAGACAGTAAGATAGTTAGGATTTAACCTTATGATAAATATGTATCACGTTATATATAGATAAAGGAATCTCTAAATAGAAAATAAACATGGATGTGTATGTATACATCACCCCCCCCCCCCCCCCAAAAAAAAAAAAAAATTAAAAAAAAATTAAAAAAAATACAAATTTAGTTATTTAATAAAATAACCTTTACTAATAAGTTTGTTTAAAGGTTCGATGAGTTTACACGGATCACATAGTGATTTCCGCGCTTTTAGTACAATATTACCGTAAAATTTAGAATGTGAAAAACGTTTTTAATAAGTTTTCTACAAGTACAGCCAAATTTACCAATCAATTCTTTGTATCTATGAGAGGATTTAGTAGATGTTTTAAGTAATTTATGGTAATGAAATCCCTGACATAAAAATTTACCAGTGATGCATTGATTACGTTCGTTAAAATCTATAACATCATTACACACTAAGGCACAATCGAACGAGTTGGGATATATACAGTCATGTTCAAACTCTAGATACGGTGCTTCTTATCACGAAATGGGTTATTTGGAAACTTAGAAACATAATCAAAATATCAAAAGAAAGGGATAAAAAAATTGATGATTTTGAGTATGTCAAATGTTTAGCTAACTCGGCTGTGTATTTTTATATGTTGGATTAAGTTGTTTTATGTAATGTATCCGTTTTTATTCTGTAGTTAGTCCCCACTTTGGTTTTATTATGTATATCTATTATATAGTCATTTTATTAAATTTACTGTTTGCAAAATTATAAATTATTCTAAATAATAAGGATGTTCTTGTCCCAGGCAGAAAATCCTGTCCGTGTTAGGCGCAACTTTTTAGAAGTTTTGGTCCTCGGTGCTCTTCAGCTTTGTACTTGTTTTGGCTTTCAATCTTTTTTTTATCTGAGCGTCACTGGTTGGTCTTGTGTGGACGAGACGCACGTCTGGCGTATTGAGTTTTAAGCCAAGTACCTTCTGCTAGCTATTATTCGTGTGTTTCTTTGTCCTATATGTCCTCCCATTTAATTGTATTGTGGTCCTGTCATGTGATGTTGTCGTTTTGGTGTTGTGTTTGACGTTGCCATAAAAGGGGGAGGTTTGGCATGCCACAAAACCAGGTTCAACCCACCATTTTTTTCTTAAAATGTCCTGTACCAAGTCAGGAAAATGGCCATTGTTATATTATAGTTCGTTTCTGTGTGTGTTACATTTTAATGTTGTGTTTTTGTTGTGTCGTTGTTCTCCTCTTATATTTGATGCGTTTCCCTCAGTTTAAGTTTGTAACCCGGATTTGTTTTTATCTCTATCGATTAATGAGTTTCGAACAGCGGTATACTACTGTTGCCTTTATTTAAACATGAAATGGAATTTTTGTTAAAATATTCTAAACAAAATATGAACAATGAAGCTTTCTCTATTATGTGCGGTACTTTTTGTAGATAACTTTATATTTTTGCTTGGTCAGGTTAGTGTAATGACCATTTAAATATTGTATAAATTATCATATACATTGTAATCAACGCTCCCTATGCACTATGCCTTTCCTATTGTGTATATACACTATGTTTGTAACAAAGATAAATTGTATCAACAGGTAAATATTGAAAGCAAATATTTACTCATCACATCTCTGAAATAACTCCTATTTGGAAAACAAAATTAGAAATTCTATTTTTATGAATGATTTACATATTTCCTTTCAAATAAATTTTAACGAGTAGCACGTGGCAAAAAATCATTCGACCGGAATGTAATAGAATAGTCTATAATGACAAAATCGCAATAATAAATGCACGCAATAATTTCTGAATTATTATTTATAATGGGAGTTATTTTTCTTTTCTTGTTTGCATTACCCCCCAACAAATGACGCTGTAATGATGGGTCCTCTTAGTTGCTATTTAGGGTTTATGTAACAGGTGCTAATTAATAAAGTATGTCTAAAATAGAAAAAAAAGCTATGGAATATTGTTATTGATGGTTCAAAGCAGTCAATTAAAGTGAGCAATATGAATGAACATTTTTTTTTCTATAATGTCTCGGATTTGTCTAATATTGAACTAAATATATCGAATTTTAACGTTCCCATTTTGATTACGGTGAAAAAGTTTATGCAATACAGCTTTTAACCTCTGTGCAAGTGAATTTGCAATGATGTTTGTGATATCTAAATTCAAAAGATTAATTGGTCTGTAATTATCTAAGATAAACGGGACATTTTTCTTGTAATTTAGGGAAATTACACTTAGATTTTTTTGGAATTGGTCAATTATTGTTTCTCATAACAATTATTAAAACATACAGCCAGATATTTTAAATAAGACCAAAAACTTCTGTGACATTCAACTGGTAAACCATCAATACCAGGTGTTTTATTTAGTTTCATTTTACAGACAGTTTTAGTACACTCCTCTAATATCAACTATCCATCGATTGCATTCTTTTGTATGTGCTTAATCTACAATTTATTTTTGCATTTTCAATATAATTTTAAATGTTTTTTTTTAAATCTGGCTTAGTTGAGGTATATAAGTTAATTTAATAATTCCTTCTCATTTCTAAAAATTTACCTTGATCTTCAATAATACCTTCTATTATATTTCTTAATGCATTAATTCATTTCCTTCTTTTATGGATTTCTCTATACCCAAAAATATTTGGTGTTTTTTCACCTTTCTTCTATCCACTTAATCCTTGATCTTATCTGTGCCCTTTATTTTGTCAAAATAAAGATTATTTTGATTTTCTGCAATTATTTTGATTGAATCTGTTATGTTTGGGAACTTATGTAAATTTTCACAAGGTTGCTGTCATAAATTTCATTCAAAAATTTTAACTTTTCCTTAATTCAATAACTTTATCCAATTTATCTTATGCTACAATTTCACAATGTTCAATAGTAGTCTACCTTACCTCTTTCTTAAACAAAAAGACTTTTTCTATTTCTCAATTTTTTGTATTTTTTTATCAAATCATTTATTCCAATCTTGTATGAATCATCTTCATGTATACTTTTATTTAATTTAAATGGTCTGTATATTGAATTACAGCAGTTCTGATGTCCGTTTGAAATACCTTTGGTGTTACATCTTGACTGACTAGAAAATAATCTATTCTGCTGGCGAGTTTATTACTTTTTAACCTCCAGGTATACTGTGTTTTTTTTGGATTTAAAACTCTCCAAATATATATTTCTTTTAGTTTTAATCATAATTTTCAAACTATTTGTCTTATGGTTTTGTTTTTTGTTACCTTTGCTAGTACTTTTCCTGTTTTTTTTTTTATATTCAGTGTTTTATTCATATCACCTCTAATAACACGTACTGTGGATTCATTATTATCTCTGGGATACCAATCTTCGTGGATTTCGTGTATAAAGGTAAAGCACGAATATATATGTTTACTGAAGTACAAATCGTCTATAAGCTTGAATGCAAATTTTGGCAAATCCACGAAATCAAATATCCACGAAAATACAATTTTTGCTCAATCCATGAAAACTGGTATCCCCGAAAATTGGTATTCACGAAAACTGGTACCCACGAAAACTGGTACCCACGAATATAAAGTTATCCACAGTATACAAAGACTTTTTTTTTTATGACACTTAAAACTGTGAATGTGTTTCTTTCTTTTCATTATATTTGTAGCGTACACGTTAACAAGGGTTAAAATATTCTTATCAAGTTAAACTTTCGTATTGATTAAGATAATTATTGATCAACATATTTGTAAATGAAATCATGTGTGATTTATTTTTTAATGAAAATCGAAACCCCCTTGATTGTTTACTTCAAAAACTGTGATATATTTCCCCCATGCATTCTTTATCTGTAGCATTATCCGAAAAATGTATTTCTTTAACACTTTATAAGTCATAGCCTTTTGACATATTTTCTAAACCCCTGACAATTAGGGAACATATGTGTAATAGGTTTGGTGACGTTTTGACTATATATTATCTCAGATTAACGTTTAATCATTAAAATATACAATAATAAACCGTATCTATAAAAGATAAGTTAAATATGTTAAAGACGCACACTCATCATATTATCATGAAAGACACTTTTCACCTTCATATCATTCTTACATGTAAACATACACTTATATACAACAATCATTACACTTGTATTTATTTTCAATAAGACTATCTTCAGGTTTTCACCTGTTTCTATCTTTAGAATCAGTGACAGGAAGAACATCTTAACTTTCAATTAATTTTCACGAGGTGCAATCTATTAGAATAGACATGTATGTGGGATGTAAAACAAATATTTCTATATGGGTAAGTATTTTGTTTACATGATACATTTGTATATTGCTATGTATACACTTTTGAGAAAGTGAAACATAAGAATTAGGCTTCATTTACTGATTTATCAATATCTTATTTTTAACAAGAACTGTATGTTATGAATTTGAATACGGCATTTGGGTACAATTCATTTGATTCTACCAAAGTGTTTTATAGTTATATAATATAAATCATATAAATCATTGATTATCCTTTGATTTCTGAATAAAAAAAATAAGCTCAACCAATTTCTTGTAAATTTTTAAATTATCCAGTGATAAAAAATGTAGAGATACGTATATAAACAAAGGAGTTTAATGAAATACAATGTTGAGAAAAAAACTGTTTGCTTACATTCTTTGCACAGGTGAGTAAATGGGACGGTGTGGGTAACTTGCATATCTATGTAAATAGAAATATCCTGTTATCTTACATTTTTATGGACCAATACTTTAAAATCTCTTGCAATGTTTGCACCGAAAACGACATCACATTTGTCATATAGACATTAGCTTGCATAGACAACTCTTTAGTATTAAGTTCTCATTTATCATCTTTGTGATGCTCGGTAACAGTAATGTATTTGTCTGTAGCTGTGGAGGTCCATGTGTCCATTGTGATTGACGCAACCTTAGCAGACAATATTTCTGAATTGAAACGCGTTTTCTGTTCAATATATAATTTTTCTATACGGATTTGATCATATTACGAGTAAAATTAATGTACTCAGGTGCGACAATATTAACATTCATAAGTTTTAAAATTCCACCACTTCAATAAAACTTAAGTAATCTTTTACGACCATTTTGTTCAAGTTTGAATATCCCTTTTATATCTTTCGCCTCACCTTTGGAAAGTCATTAAAACGGCAAATCATGTAACATGTGAAAGGAGGACGACAAAACCAGTTAAATTAAAGGAGAAAAAAAACCCAATGTTGATGTGATATCTAAAAGCATTGTTTCTCTGTTTGAATGGTAAACGAGGTAGATGAAATAGTCATATTTTTTCCATGGGGGGTACATCACTTCTTCATAAGAATCTTCCTCTTGTCCGATCTATGGCAAGTGCAACTGTATCTAACTGTTTAAGAACCCTTGCAGCACATTTAAAGGGTCCCTAGTAGTTGGCGTATTGCAAGGTACAATTGTAGCTTCATTCGAACATTACTAATCTTTAACTGGCAGTCGAAATACCCGACCTCGATCGACCTACATTGCAGAACATTCATTCTGTATGTAAATTTAATGTGTACTAATCCATAAATGTAGAGATTCGTATATAAACAAAGGAGTTTAATGAAATAAAATGTTGAGAAAAAAACTGTTTGCTTAAATTCTTTGCACAGGTGAGTAAATGGGACGGTGTGGGTAACTTGCATATCTATGTAAATAGAAAAATCCTGTTATCTTACATTTTTATGGACCAATACTTTAAAATCTCTTGCAATGTTTGCACCGAAAACGACATCACATTTGTCATATACACTTTTAATAACACATTTATACATTAATACAATATTACATCTTGTAAAGGCATATGATACATGATATATCATCATGACATTAAATTTTGAGCTTGGTTACATTCTTTTGCCTTATGTCCTTCTTTTCCACAATTGTTATACACCCAATCATTTTTGACAGGTAATGTATTGATTAATACGTATTTGCCCTTTAAGGAATACTTTTGCATTATATTTTCCTGTTCTTGTAAATCTAGGCAAGGTGCCTTTCAATAGTTGTACTTAAAAGATCCTGTCTCAGGACTGACAATTAGTTAGAAAGCCATCTGTTAAGAAGTCTTTGGGTTGGCCTTTTGAATTCCCAAATAAATCAGTCTCTAGAATAAATACCGGTTTTACTGACGACAGTTCATCAAGGTTATCATGCCTTCAACTATGACTTTGCTTTGCAACATTGTCAGAATATGTACTCATGTCGGCCATCTTTTTGTTTTGGTATACTTTTGTGTTCTTTTTTTATATAATTTGTTACTTTTTTATCTTATTTAGACTGTGATTTCCACTCTCCCTCCGTTCCTGACAGATGTTTACTCAAGTAACATATAAATTGATGTTTTAAGACAGTTTGTTGAATAAATATATGAATATTTCTCGGCAGCATGAAATGTTCCGTGGAAGTCTTTCGATACTCCTTATATCCTTGTTGTCTTTGTTGGAGGAGTATCGGAGCCGCTTGTCTCTGTCAACCGTTTCAGAGGCGTTTCATCAATTAACACTTTAAAGATTCCTATGCCTTTTTTCTTTGTTCTTTTGATAAGAAAGAACATTGTTTGTATTTTGTGTTTATGAGAGATGCAATAAAAGGTGTGGAACAGGCAGTTTTCATGTCAAACTGCTGATTACGACGATTCAGCTCGTCACTAATGACATCCTTTGACTTACGAATTATAACTCCGTTGGAGTATTGTACCCTTACACTTGTTCTCAATAATCCATATACAATCGGTTAGACCAGAAAAAGATAAGCTATATTCTGAATACATGTATGTCGTAACATCAGATAAGTCTATAACAACTGTGGACAGATCGTTCATCAATTCACACTCATGATCTTTAGGAAGAAATACATCGGCATCTACTTTTTTGGTCACTTTCTCGACCAACAATATATCTGTGAAAGTACGACGATGTTCCATCAGAAGCGACAACATTGGCATCTACTTTTTTGGTCACTTTCTCGACCAACAATATATCTGTGAAAGTACGACGATATTCCATCAGAAGCGACAACATTGGCTGTGTTTAATGCCACCTAGTTAAAACATCTTGTACTAACTGTTTAGGTACACCAAGAAGTTTTTGTCTATTGCTCATTTCTACATTTTGAAATCAATTTTGCAACAAAAGCTAGTTCAAACACGGGTTTGATAGAAAGCAGCAACGTATGATTGAAATATCCAAAACCGTCCCATTCTTGGCATTTGTTACCAGCACATTCCATGTTTCTGGCACTGTTATGTACGTAACTAACCCGCCTAACCCAAACTAACGGACAATCGATTGAAGTTTATTAGCAAGGTTTTCCCTAGTATTTCTTTCAGGGTTAGTTTGCATAGACAACTCTTTAGTATTAAGTTCTCATTTATCATCTTTGTGATGCTCGGTAACAGTAATGTATTTGTCTGTAGCTGTGGAGGTCCATGTGTCCGTTGTGATTGACGCAACCTTAGCAGACAATATTTCTGAAATGAAACGCGTTTTCTGTTCAATATATAATTTTTCTATACGGATTTGATCATATTACGAGTAAAAACATTGTACTCAGGTGCGACAATATTAACATTCATAAGTTTTAAAATTCCACTTCATTCAATAAAACTTAAGTAATCTTTTACGACCATTTTGTTCAAGTTTGAATATCCCTTTAATATCTTTCGCCTCACCTTTAGGAAAGTCATTAAAACGGCAAATCATGTAACAAGTGAAAGGAGGACGACAAAACCAGTTAAATTAAAGGAGAAAAAAAAACCCCAATGTTTATGTGATATCTAAGAGCATTGTTTCTCTGTTTGAATGGTAAACGAGGTAGATGAAATAGTCATATTTTTTCCATGGGGGGTACATCACTTCTTCATAAGAATCTTCCTCTTGTCCGATCTATGGCAAGTGCAACTCTATCTAACTGTTTAAGAACCCTTGCAGCACATTTAAAGGGTCCCTAGTAGTTGGCGTATTGCAAGGTACAATTGTAGCTTCTATCAAACATTACTAATCTTTAACTGGCAGTCGAAATACCCGACCTCGATCGACCTACATTGCAGAACATTCTTTCTGTATGTATATTTAATGTGTACTAATCCATAATTTGCATTAAATATTTGCCACTGGACCTTAAACAGAACACAGTCAATCAATTGATCAATGACAAAGTTAAAATGCGACCGGTACATGGAGACACTTTCCAAAATGACCTCCATTGCAGACTTAATACAACTGTTGAATTTTCATTATTAGGAAAATTTATGTATTTTAATCTCAACTAACTATGGTTTTGCATATAGTTGAAAACCGTACTGTGAATCAGCGTTCCTTTAGTCTCGGGGGGGGGGGGGGGGGGGGGATACTTGTCACATTAGCAATCACAAAACAATGTCTTTCAATTATTTACTCTTTGACTGACAAGATAAGCTTTCGAATAAATATCAATCACCAGCTATCAAAGAATCATTGGAACATACATAATTGAACGTTTTCTGATTAGAATTATGATAATTATATTCCCCTGTCGAAAACAAAAGGTAGATCATTTTCAATAAAAATATATTCATTCAACCAGCGTATGCGATAATTACATAAGGCCACGAACGATACATGTTTTACGGCAAAAGAGATCGAATTTTAGATTAGAAATTTTTTTATTTTTTATACTTTTAATATAATTATAGTTCTCGAGGGAATTATTGATCGTGTTCTAATGGGTTAGGTGTAAAGAAAATAGCGTTGGTCTTTAAAATACGTGCAATATTTATTACTGGAAGAAGGATTCAATCAAATACTGCGAACACGATTCAATAATAAAGGAAATAGGTATTATAAATATGTAGTTATTTCTTTTAGAACGTTAGTTAATGTATTCTTATTGATTATTGACAAAATTATAAGGAGAGTAGAATTATGGACAACAGTAGTTTTCTGATGTTCAAATCTCATAAATTTATTAAGAAGATTTATATCAATGTAAAACAGTAGGGTATACCCAGAGAATTGAATGGCCCCCAAGAGGACCGAAATATATTTGGTAAACGAAATATTGAACAGACGTTCTATGATGTAAAATCAAAACCGATTCATGTAAGAACAAGACGGACTTGCAGACTTGGAAACATGTCATCTATTTGTTTAAGTGATCTTTGTTTATAAGATCTTAACATAATTTTAATTCTTAGCCTAATTTTAATCTTGATCAGCGGAACAATACAATGTATCTAGAAAAAAGAAAAAACAACAGTAAGATAAAAAATCAAAA